CTCTCGAGATAAGCTACAAGAATATGTAATAAAAAATAGAGGTTTCCATGTAAAAAAACATTAATGATTTTGATTTGATTTTGACAAGGTCAAGTCCACATTTCCATCATGTGTCCCCCCTTCAAGCCTTGCAACTTTCATTCAAAAAATTTTTCAATAAAATCATCAATTCGCGAGATAATCGACCATATCATTTAAAATCAACATCCTGTATAATTGTTATAAGATAAATTCTCACATAAAGATATCCAGCTTCTTGACATCGTTGAGTCGCTTCCTTAACAAGTATTTGCATCTCATGTAGACTGATTCCACCAGCAGTTATAGCTTCTCCGTTAAGTTTCGTCTTTAGCACATTCTCAATGTCCGCAGTTTTCTCACTCAAAATACTCTCAAGTTCTTGCAGGAAATTCGATTTATACGGTGATAATTTTGCATGACTTTGTTCCAACCGTATTTTTTTAATCTTATTATTGACTTCAACTTCCTTAACGAGTAATTCTTTTTCTAATTCTAGCTCCTTTTTTCTACGATTAATTTGTTCGAGTGCCTGATTTTGCTCTTTTAGAGTAGAACCAAGAACTTCAATCTCCCGCTCGTACGTTGATTTTTGCGAACCGAGTTGCCATTCCACTTCGCGCTTCGCATTTTCGAGTTCCTTTATTGCTTGTTGTTTGGACTCTTCCAATTCAGCTCTTAATCTATTTGAAGAAAATTACTGTATTTAAAAACTGATAAACTCATAATAATTTCTGATAGTTATTTATCAAAAAAATTACAAAATGCAATTATATTGCATATATAAGTACTTACGCCAACGATATCGACACGAAACTATTTACGTCACTAATGATAGAGATAGTAAGTACAAAAATGTAAAATATTTTGAATAGATTCTCTTCAATAGTAAATAAATTTTCTATCGTTATCACTAGCGATAATTTTTTTGTATAAGTAATTACATTTTAGTTTAAAAAAAAATTGATTTTATATTAAAGATTTTTTAATTGTTTTAATACATACTTTTTCTCTTGTATTTGGAGAATTTCTTGGTGCGCAAATTCAAAATCTATCGCTTGTGTGGAACGCTTGACGTTGTAGGATTCATCAAATGGATTTAAGACTTTAAAATAGTGATTACCGCCGATGACTATGCGATCACCATGATTAAGCATAATTCTTCCAGTTACCATCTAAAGGAAAGTAGAGAAATATTTTTATTTGATATATATATCTATCTTTTTTCTATATTAATAATTAATCTATCCATTGTCATTACCTGTCCATTGACATAAGTGTCTGCGCCCTTCTCGGGTGTCAAAATTAATTTTTTTCCGTCATTTTCAATAGCACTAGGAGGAAGAAAAAAAGAAGATAACAAATAATTATACGATATTTTAATTAATAATATATAAGTGAAAGATTAAAAAATGGCGTTAGTCGTTTAATATAACAGGATTCAAATATTCAGCAGAAAGTTAAAATAAGCATTTCTATAAATAGTTTTTGTTAAATAACATACATAAATGCATCTATTTGCAAACAAATTACAATTCATTGTATATTTATTAGCAACAAATAAAATTTAAGTATTGCGTCGTAGGTTCCCGACTCTTGTTCAAATTCCAATTTATTCAGTGAATGAAGATGACCTCATGAATGAAGATGAGACCTGTATAATACTGATACAGTCATGAATATGACAAAGTTTAATTTAAAAAATATATATTAATATTATACATATACAATTAACAAGATTTACAGAAGTATGAAAACACCGAATCCGTTTCTCGTCTGCTAGTCCATCTAACTGATAAAACAATGTATACACATCAATAATTACTATCTGCTTTGTTGGGTAAAAATAGCGACATGCATTAGAATTAGAAATGATTGGACTTGTCATAAGATAAACGATGCAAAGCATGCTGATAAATAGAAATATATACGATAGCTTCGAAAAGTTCCTGGAATTGGTTTGTATAATTTACAGAAGTTGTGAAGAAACGAGAAAAATTCTTATCTAATTGTAAAAAGTAATAAGAGAATGTTTACTCTTAATGTGCGTGATATCGAGTCGGGATTGAAAATATCTATAATTTAAAAAATATACAAATATTAAATTTTGTATTTTGCTGCCAAATTTGTTGACAGATATCAAACGTTACAACAGTGAAGAAATAAAATGATGAAAAATCTCGGATTTATAAATATAAATTATTTATAAATCTCGGATTTATAAATAGTCTCCCTGTCCCGAAAGGACAACACCTTTATGATGTTAACATTAACATTGCAAATATAAAACTTAAAAGAGAAGAGAACCTTTATATATTTTTCAGGAAGGCATCCAGCTTTATGATCGCACATAGTGTAATTGTTCAAAAATATTAGTAGAAGCCTAAATTAATTATAATATTTTAGATTTCTTAGAAATCCGCGGAACTTTTGAAGCTAGTACAGAAAATAAGATAGAAAATATATTCATAGCACATCTAAAATATTATATATTAGACAGAAGAAAATTTAGCATTAACATAAACAGAACATCTCTCCTTTTCTCCCACACCGATCCATTCTCTCTCCTTTTCCCTTTTTTCTACTTTACCTAAACATAAAACACACACACATACACACACAAAATCCGTTGACTAACCAATGCAATTCTCTAACAAGAGGTCCATCCAATAGGATATCCAGTTGTTTAAAAGTGGCTTCGAATTTATGCGTCGGAGCATTCTTTCCGATACGAATCAAACCTGGAGGTATGATATACAAAAGTGTACCAGATAACATAGGATCTGCCGTGAGATTTACGAGACACGGATGCTTATCTCGCTCTTGGAAATCAATCTCAATGGCGACTCCGCAACGACGTAAATATTTGAGCTCCGAGCTTTTCTTCTCTTCAGCTCTTTCTAACTTTTCGCGCGAACTCCTGTAATTATATGTGGCTAACGATTACCGATTCAACATACATCGCAAAAATCGTTAGTCACGTTTACGAAACTCTCAATAACACCATATTTGCACTCGCAACAAGCTTCATTTGCTAGAGCATATTAATCCTGAAACTTGAATAAGTTTTATTACAAGGATAAGATTAAATTATAGTTTTCAGTTCTTGATAATAAGAATAATGTAACGGCTAAGAATAAAACATTATCAAATTAAAAAATCATATTTTACAATTATAATATTTTCAAATGAATAATTCAGAATTTACAAAATTATCACAGCTGACCTTGAAATTGTTTTTTTCAAGGCTGAATGAAAAGAAATCGATAATTTTAAATTAAAAATGTGATATCATTATAAATGAATTTAAATATTATTGTCTTATTTACTTTTTGATCTTACATATTAAGAGATCAAATTATTTCACTTACATCTGAGTAACTGCCAACTGCTCTTCCGTTTTTTTCAATTGATCTTTCAGTTTGTCAATTTCCTTTTGTTGTCGGATGATATCTCTTCCCCATTGATCCTTCGAGTCGAAACGATGAAGTAACTGACGAGGAACAACTCCACACTGCTTCTCATATCCTTCGCGTACCCCTCGTAAACGTAGTACTTCAGCCTTTAATTCGCTTTGAGATAAGTCATTAAATTATCTTTTTGTTAAAATCTATTAGGATAATGGAGATTCAATCCTTTTGTATAATTTACCTCTGACATATTCATAGCATTTGTGTAACATATGACAGTGAAAACATGGAGCTTTTATTGAATTAAAAATTAAATCTCAGGAGATGTTTTACCGAATTAGCCGGTCGTGCGGATCTTCATTGATGCGGATTCGATTAACTATAGCTCGAGCCTGACACGCATATCGAAGGGTCGCCAGGGTCTCCTCTACATGAATATTGGCCGGTGACACCGTTCCCAACATTGCTGTTCGTGAATTTCCTCCTAAGCTTTCCTGCAAAAATGTTTGTTTTTACATATTTTAATTTGCTCTTTGTCTACATAATTTATTCACACTGTACATAGTAAAAAGTACAGCCTCTATTGTATGTGATATCAAACGTTGAAAGCGATCGCAAATCTAATCATTCGTAAATTTAATCGGATATCGGACCATGCTATCATCCATCAATGGTACATTATCTCCTTAAGTAGCAGTAAATAAGAAACAACATTTCAAAAGGTAATTTCCCCTTTTATACTGTTTATTTTTACGGTTCTTAAGATAAACGTTCGGACTTTCCATTTTTAATTCTGATCTTTTAGATTTTTATCTTATTCTGTATAATCTTCTATATATTCATATATATAGGTTTCAATCAATCGTTTATTATTTTTTATCTTATATTAGTCTAATGCGCAATTCTTCACAAGTTTGCAAATAAATAAGGATTTAAATAATCCAACGGAAAATATAAATCAATTCAGAATTTTATGTTTTATACTATTGTATATGAAGAATAAACAGTTTTGAAGTATATCAAATATGCTCAAATATTTTATATAATAATTATGAATAACAGTATAGGAATTACTGAAACATATAATTGCTTATTTGCGAACGGAATTTTTCCTGCTTGTAATGCTAATACTAAATATTATACTATGAAACTGTTATCTTAAAATAAATTTTTACGATGACCTTAAAATTTTCTTTCTTGTATGCAATTAAGAAAATTTTATCATTAATAAACGCAAATTTATATAAAATTATGGAATTAAGCTCAAATGAACTTGCATATTCTATATATTGCATATTACTAATATATTGCATATTATTAATTTTTTATTACTGTTATTAATTATTAATGAGAGATTGTAGGTGAAGATATTAAAATAAAGGGAATTAATAGTGTTTGAAAGAATGTGTATATGTACAGATAAAGTCTTTTAATAGATAGTGTTTTAATAGGAATTATTTTATGGCGACTGGATTCCTGCGTACATTATATTTGATTGTATCTTATCATAATGCGTTGATAAACATATATTATATGGCAAAAATAAATTTCCGATTAAATGGAAAAAAATAAATTAAATTTTTAATGTACAGTATTAATGAAAATATTAATAAAAGCCGTAGATATGAAAAGAAATCAGCAAGACATTAAAAAAAGCTCTTGACAAAGGAAGAAAAGAATGCAGCAAAAAATTAGACGAAACATTAAAGCAAGATGATAATGACACATGGAATATAAATATCGAAAGTGACTACTATTTCACTAATCTAATCGAACATGCCATGATTTCTGATAAATATCACAAAAATATCATGAGAATAAGATTCGATTGATAATCAAGCCAATCATAAAGCACTATCATTATTGAAATACACATGTACAATATCATCTTTTGAGCACATTTATCTGCGTATCTATAAATCTTAACAAACTGCTGCACACGTGATTAATAATGATTTGTTAAAAATAATTTTAAAAAAATCCTCGATATTTCACGGACATTGCGATGTGCTTTGATATGACTATAATCATTTGTGATCGAACTCTTGTCCATGTGAAAAATATGAATCAGTCGCAAAAAGTTGACTGTATTTATCATAGTCAGCAGAATGAAATGCTGTTTTTTCCATGCTGTTTTTTTTAGTGTTAAACTAAACTGTATTAATAACTTCATAAATTATCATTTTTTATGTATTATATTATATTTAGTTAAAAATAGAAATATAAACAAAATAGTAAAAACAAAAACTCAAAATTATTTTAAGTGTTTAATGTCCATTTATGATTTAATTTACTTTTTTTTTTGTTATTAGAACTAGTAATTATTAGAACTAGAAATGGGCATAAATGCAGCAGGCAAAAAACCAATACTATTTAAATATTTATGAAGAATAAATATGGAAGAAAATGTTTCCATTTTGGACAAAAGGAATTTCATTAAATATAATAGAATAATACTCTATTAAATTTTAATATTTTGATAAAATTGGACAATAATATATTATTATATTAATATGTTATTATTATATTATGTAGATAATAAAAAAAATGATAAAAAGACAGGAAGAAGATAATGATTTCATTCTCAACAGTGCCTTTAAAAACACCGGATGCGATAATTGTAATACAAGGGTGATGCGATATATTTTTCATGATCGAAAAGTACATTATCGATATGCCATTGTAAAAGAGGCAAGGTTTTTTTGTATAATAAGTAAAAATCGGCAAAAACAGGAATGAGACTTCGGCGCCAGAGTGTACGCATTAGTGCGCACGTACGCACGCTGTTGCGTGCGCGTGTGCGCACACACACACAAACGTACGCACGCATTCACGCACGCACGTAAGCATGCGGTTCTCCTCGTTGCGTATGTCATTACCTTTTACGCGTCGCACAAATCCACACGAAACGACGAAGGTGATTGGCGGAGCTGAAGGTGGGGCACCAAGAACGTAAACGCGAGCGTAAGCGTTCCGAAGAAGAGAGGGAGGGAAGATGTGTTGAACGGAAGAAGCGGTAAAAGGGAGGACGGACAGAAAACCGGTGAAGCCGAGTGGGGAAAAGACTCAACAGATAAATATTATACGCGTAGCGTCCGCGTCACTCTACGCTCCGTCAGTTCAAAGCGAGAGCCATCGGCGACGAGAGTTTCGCTTCTTTTTTCTCTCTCTCTTTTCTTCCCGCGGAAGAAGAAACTGCGTTTCTACAACCCGAACGTAACGGGACGTGTGACGACCTTATCGTCTTATCAACCGATCCTCTAAAGCGATCTCGGAGTAGCTTACAAATATCAACAAGAAGACGCGCTAACGAGAACTTGACAATACAATCACACCACCCTTTCATTTAACATTATTAAGCGTTGATCAACGTAAACTACTACGAGGGATCATGGATCTCGTTTACATACCAGAGCTGTTTACCTATGGATATTTGAGGAATCCGCAGTACCACGATTACGAGCAGCCATGGAACAGAGACTATTTCAAGTGCGATAGCAGTAAGTCTAGAATCTTCTCTTTACCTTCTTAATTATCATGATTTAAATAATAAATTTATATTTCATTCGATATTTCATGTTGGGAAATCTTGACGGAATATTTTAACGGTAGAATACGGATAAATTCGTATTATGAAAATAAACTTGTTTTTTAGAATTAGATGACCTTAGAACTTGACTTATTAATTGATAACAAATTGCAAGTATGTTCTAAAAAACATGTAGTAGTAAGCGATAAAGGAGGCCTTCTTACATTATATTTATATATTTGTCGCAACCAAGTTTCTTCGAATAAACATACAGGTACATTTTTTTTTCGCAAGGCTATGTTCAGATTTCTAGAGTGCTACGAGGGTCATTGAATGTTAAACAAGTGGTTCGTATTCGATTCCTACACTAGACTGTTCTAGAACTTTCTTTTTCATTTTCAACAAATATCAAATGTATATCTATCTCTCTCTCTTTAAGTTCCAAAAATGTACACTAGTTCATGGAAAACAGACCTAAGGAAAATTGAGAACATTCCAGTGGAAATTTGAGCCCTAGAATACCTTTTTCTTATGGGGCGGAAATATGAAGCGAAAATTTTTTCCATTAACATCAGTGATAAAAAATTTTTACTAATATCAAGAGTTGCTAATAGATTAAAAATTCTTAAATATCCAGATTTAAAATCCTTAAAGTTTAAAAAAAAATTTGAAAATAATTGCACTCTTTAATTCAAGACAGAATTTCAATTTAAAATTATAAATATTTAGTAAAAATTAAAGATTTGAAAATTGCTATTATGAAAAATTTGACTGTTCGTTATTCAAAACGTTTATAGACGAAGCTCAGCTTAAATTTACTGTGTACAAATTTTTTGTATTGGATAAGATTTCTCTTTCTTTCTCCACATACAATGATAACTTTGTGAATAACTTTGTAGCAGATGTGCCGCGAAATTAATTAGCAATATTTACTCGGCATACTTTTGCAAGCAGAATATGAGACATTTTTTTCAATATAAATAAAAGACGCTGAAGTACAATCTTACGAGAAATTAATTTGTTGATTCAATCAATAAAATGTTCTTTTCGAATCTTTTCCCACCTGTGCTGCTTTAAACATTTTCACTTAAACATCAGAAATTGACCAAAATAAACCGTATGAGATAAACATCATTTTTTTGGCCAGAAAAAATTACGAGGACAACAATTAGTTATCTCAAGATGATATTTCTTCGCGCCTTTCAGCGCAGAAAGACTTATCTTATCTCTAATTTTATAAAGAAGTCTGGTATTTGGATACTCATCTGTTAATTAATTCATTGTATAAGTGTACAATTTCTTTATTTATTCACCTGAGTCCTCGAAATTCAGAAATCTTCAAATAGTTTACACATACGTGGACATTTTTTCATTACCCGAGACTTGTCATTACCAGCTACTCTGATATCCACTCTGATATTTTTTTATTAAGTTGTTCACGCAAATAAGGAAAGTACTCCAAACGACAGCATCGACATTACCTTACATGATCAACATAAGAAAAAAAAAAGCGAAAGAGAAAGTCTCATTTTATTGCTTTATTTTATTTTGAAATATTTTTTGAGTAAAACCTAATAATCCGCAAATTTTCTATCTAGTTTCTCCTTTTCTTGAAATACACAGATGAATACTAAAATAATACCCACATATTGAGAGCATAATAATAAAAAGGAATAATAAAACAAGGCAATAAACTAAGATAAAGCAGTCAAGGTGAGATGAACTAAAGAAGCGATGAAAGAAACTGCAGAAAAATTAGAGCGGCTGCATTCCGGAAGTTCCGGACGGAAATACTTTCATCGGATGTTGCGTGGAAATTGCAAGAATTATAATTGTTACTCTTCGCGGTTGTTAGCCGTGTAATTACACACAAGCTATATTCGTCCGTGTAATATAGCAGGAGGGGAGGAAGATGTTTGTTATTTGGATGAGAAAGTAGTGCACATAAATGCAGCGACAATAAAAGTTATTGCAATTGCAAAAATAAATTTTCCAAAATTATCTGTTACGTTCAAAAAAATGTTGTAACTATTCTATGACTAAGATTTGACATAGTTTCTTCCGTTTTTTCTCGTATCTTTTTATCATATGAAAACAAATTTTATCATAGTTACGATAAAAATCAAATATGAAATAATTACTCAGAAAAGAGAAAAGTATAATGTGTGATTTGAAATATAATGTGTAAAGAATACTAAAAAATTATTGCATTATAGATATCGAAAAAATATAATACATTTTTCGTTATCAAGTATCGTCGATATTCGCGCAGGCTATCGTGAAACAATTTGCGAACAAAGCTGTTTTGTATAATAGAGACGTCATCATATTTTACGCCGCAAGATATATCAGTATAAGCAGTATAGATAAATAATGGATAAAAGTTATCTGCAGATAAAAATCAAACATTTTAGATAAAAATAATAATTTCATAAATACGTAATTATTGTAACGTACATATTCAAAATTATTTTAAATTTATAAATATATGTATATTATTAATAAATATATTATTAATAATTTTATATATAATAGAAATTTTCCGAAAAAAAAAAAAAGATTAATATTATTACACAAATAAGTATATTTGATAAATTGCAGAAATAAGTATACTCGATAAATTCCTAGCTAATTTATGTCACATTTTTATTAAATACGTATCTAGCTAGAATTGCGTACAACCAGATATTCTACCAGTCATATCTGTCAAGTAGATTAAAAATATTGAATATGTATGTGATGAAATCACACATTGTATTATGTGCACTTTCCTTCTACTATACAATTTTAAAATACTATCTGCATCAATACCCTATTAATTAATAAGTATATTTTCGTCTAAAAAAAAAAA